ACACTTGGGTCAACTCAAATTAAGCAAATCTGCCAAACCAACTTAATAAGAATGAAGACTCATTTAGTCCTATCTTACTAGTTGCTATGCGACTGCCTGCGCGAGCTTTAAAGTGGGCTTCAGGGCAAAACCAGAACGTACATTGTTCCATTACTAGATTGGCGATCCCCAAATACTCACTCATGAAAGTATTTATCTTTACAAATTGTCGAATTAGGCAGCTATGCAGAAAAGGTACTATTCAGATGGAAACTCCTTTCCTCTCGTCCCCTCCCCCCAACCTACAACCTTTATAATGCCATCGAGTAGGCACTAAGGTTTGGCTGAAAGGTTCTTTTGTGAACGGGATTTTGATTTGGTGGTTCTACGTCAGATAGCCTGCAATGCGTACCAGTCAAATAAAACAGTGCATAAGCACCATTAAGTTTCAAAACAACACCGTCGGGTGGGTGGTGGTTGGGACGCCCCCTAACTTTGGCAGTCTGTTCCCCGACAAATGCCACTGTTGGCTCCAACCATAGAAAAATGATATTGAAGGAAAATATGTGATCCGTGACCAGGGAAACGTCACATTATATTTACAGCATCTCATCGTGTTTAATAGCTCACCACAAGACCAGCATCGGTAGTAGCTAAAATCTCAGATGTTTTCAACTGATTTCGTGCTGGTGCTTGACGCGGCCGCGAGAGCCTCGGCTCATCAATGAGCCCCCAGTGTCCTCGTGTGCTTTCTGGTATATGAACTCCAGTTTTGCATCTTGGTTTTTTTGATATTTTGGAAATTAATGCACAAACTCGAGGCAAACCTTTTCAAATAGTCGTATTAACCTTCGGACCGATCCTGAAAAGGTCTGACATGAGAGATTTATTCTAAGTTTGCGTATTTTCTTTTTGAGGAAATGGAAAAGCTTAACAGTAGTTCGTCATTCCAATCGTAAACTGACATGCCACGGCTTCGCTGGGCCTCTCCATTCCTGGATCACAACCCTACACTTAGGGGAGGGAAGGGTCACCACGGGGGCAATGTTGGACAACTTCAGGACTTTATACTTCATCCGACTTCGCCAAATAGCTATCCAAGAAAGTACTCCCCAAGTTCAAGGAAAGCCTGATAAAAAGTAGTTGATGCCACAATAAATGTTCAGAGTAGGCCAAGAAAGATGGCAATCGAGGGTGAGTA